CGGCCTGCATCTAATTTTCCCTCTTCAGTGGAATTTTTTCAAGGTCATTGTGCTTACATTTGCTGGGAAAACAAGTAGTTGAATAATTTTCTTTAATTGAAGGTTCTGTGAAAATTCAATGTATTTACAAAACTTCCAGAAATGTTACCTTTTTCTCTTGCTTACCTAAATCTTCCATTTTCTTTCAAAGCAATGCTTTGTTTATTGAGTAACATCGAAACTTTTTTTTTTTAGGTGCCATAAAACGCAAGGTGGAATTAGAGTGGGGTACAGGGGATACAGAATATCTTCAGAAGGTACATACTCACGTGGAAGGAGCATTAAATGAGTTAAAACCTGACATCATTGTCTATAATGCTGGGACTGATATTCTGGATGGCGATCCATTGGGAGGACTTGCTATTTCACCTCAGGTTTGTATGATACTAAAATACCTAGAGACTTTCCTGTGGCTGTGTCATGGTTTAACCCAGCCAGCAACTAAGCACTATGCAGCCGCTTGCTCACTCCCCCTGCCCCAGTGGGATGGGGGAGAGAGTCAGAAGAGTAAGAATGAGAAAACTCCTGGGTTGAGATGATAAGAACAGTTTAATAATTGAAACAAAATAAAGTAAAATAGTAGTAGTAATAATAGTGATATAATAATAACAGTAATAATAATATACAAAGCAAGTGATGCACAATGCAATTGCTCACCACCTGCCGACCGATACCCAGACAGTTCCCAAGCAGCGATTGCTGCCCCCCAGTCAGCTCCCCCCAGTTTATATACTGAGCATGGTGTCATATGGTATGGAATAGCCCTTTGGTCAGTGTGGATCAACTGTTCTGGCTGTGCCCCCTCCCAGTTTCTTGTGCACCTGGCAGAGCATGGGAAGCTGAAAAGTCCTTGACTAGCATAAGCAGCACTTAGCGGCAACTAAACCATCAGTGTGTTATCAGCATTCTTCTCCTACTAAATGCAAAACACAGCACTATGCCTGCTACTAGGAAGAAAATTAACTCTATCCCAGCTGAAACAAGGACAGGCTGTTTGTTAGCTGAAGGTAAGGTGCATACTTTACACTAAACTAGAGCATTTGCTGTTATAGATATGTATAGATACATTGTCGTTGCTCTTTCACCATGCTTTTTGTTGTCTCTTCCTGACTAAATATTTTTGTTCTTCAGGTGCTTGTTCCAGTATCATTTGTCTTCTTTCTAAAATGCACTGATTTTGAACATCAAGACAGTAACCAGAGAGGCATATAATTTCACACTTCACCTGACTCCTATTTTTCCTGTTTGGTTCTTTCTTTCTTTGTTTCTTTTACCCTCACATAACCCATTTTGCGATATATTTCTTTTGTCACCTGCCTCCAGTGTGTATCTTAGGCTTACTTTCTTTTGTAGCACTCCCAGCTGTTTTAAATTGCTCTTCTGGTATCTTCCAGTTCTAGCAATTTTGTGCAGCCTGTGTGTGTATTCTTAGCAAATGAACAGATTTTTTTTCCCTTTCCTCATTCTTTTCTATACAAGTATCATTACCCTTTTTTCAGTTCAATTTACCTTCTCTCTCCCCAGTTTCAAATTTTGATTTATTCTGTATAGTTTCATAGAAGTCTTCACCTTCCAGATGTAGCAAGTCTGCTTTTCTCAAAATAAACAAAAATTTACAGATCTCTTATTTCCTCCATTTTTTTAAGAATTCCTTCTCTGACAGTTCCTTGGTTCTGTCCCTCTTCTGTTTTCACATTTGGTTCTCTTTTACTGTCCACCAGTTCAGTATAGAAAAGTGCTTTCTTGATTTGTGAGCTCTCAGATTCCCTTCTAATCAAGCCATCGCTTGATCTGTTCAGTTTTCATTCTGCTTTTCAGTACTTCAGTTCTCAGATGCTTCCTTTTGCACAGAGTTCTAGTTCCTTGCTTGGGTTTTGTTGGCTTCCTTATGTATTTCCTCATTCTTACCATCTCTGTCACTGAGCAGCTGCTTCGTTGCTTTCTGACTGGCTGCAAAGTCCTCAGTGGACCCAAGGTGGAATGACTCGGGAGCCATTCTGAATCTGCAGGTTTTGTTTCCCTGGCTATGTAAAAGTTTCGAAGGAGAAAGGAAGAGCTGAGGGGCTTGGTCTTGTTTGGTTCTGACCTTGGAGAGGATATGACCTGAGGTGTAAGATCTCATTTGATTTGGTGGAGCAGAGCTTTTTGGAAAGCAGGGACCACCAAGAGAAATGCAAGCTAGCGATAGGTGGCGAATACTTCAAGATGTGCCTTTTCAAAATTTTTTCTGCTATTTGAGGAGGAGCAGTGTTAAATGCCAAGAAAAATGAGTTGCTGTAGCTTGTTGGGTGTTTTTTTGGGACAAAATGTAGGGATGGGGAAGAAAGGTGAAATGATTCTTCTGGTCACAAGTAGAGATGAAAGGCAGAGTGCTATTTCTGTGCGCAGCCAGTGGCTCAGGTGCCTAATTATAGAATCATAGAAAGCTTTGGGTTGGAAGGGACCTGTAGAGGTCATCTAGCCCAACCCCTCTGCAGTGAACAGGGACAGCTTTAATTAGATCAGGTTGCTCAGAACCCTATCCAACCTGACCTTGAATGTTTCTAGGGATGGGGCCTCCACTGCCTCTCTGGGCAACCTGTTCCAGTGCTTGACCACCCTCATTGTAAAAAATTCCTTTCTTATGTCTAGTCTAAATCTATTCTTCTTTAGTTTAAATCCATTATTCCTTGTTCTGTTACAGCAGGCCTTGCTAAAAAGATTCTCCCCATCCTTCCTGTAGGCCCCCTTTAAGTTCTTCTAATGAAGAAAAGGTTTCTGTATCAAGCCTTTGTTTTCTGAATTGAGGGCAGGGTTTCCCATCTCACTAATCTTGTTGGCTTAGGTGTGAATGGAATGTTTCACCAAGCTTGAAATCCCAGGCTGCTGGAAATGCTGAAACTGAAGGCATCGAACCTGGAAAATTAATCTTGTAAAGTTTCGTTAGTCCAGTCTTCAGTCCTACAGTTGTAGATGTCATTCATATTTTAAAATCTTGCTACAGTGTTAATTCTACTCAAAGTTATGCCTCCTCGGAGTGTTATGAGTAGTAGTTTCTTGGTGCTTGAGGCTATAGCCAGAAAACTTGTGGTGTAGCAGGTAAGTCCCTCTTATCTTTGTTTGTAAGTGGCAAGTGTATTAGGCTGTCATTTTCAGTTTATGTATTTTCTTTCTTGGTAACACGCAAATGCTGGAATAAGCCCGTGTGTTTTCCCCTCAGTTCTTCCAGGCTCAGCCACTAGAGATGCTGGAGAAGGGATGAGGTGGTCAGGCTTCTATGAATAGTGACTGCTTCCAGTTCTTGTGTGGTATAATGTTTGCTGCATCCAGCGATGGTTCCCAAGGGGTGTGCAGCTCATTCTGTAATTCTGTTACTTCCTTTAAGGATCTGTTCCTAATAAAATTCTTCAGTTTCCTTTGTCTTGTTTTTCAGTTATTATTCCTTACTCCCATTGTCCTTTTACAGAGCTGTGTCAAACTATACAAAAAACATTACTGTTGTATGGTTTTACAAAATATTTTTTCAGCTACATTTGAATTTTGTTCTTTCCCTTTACCATTTGTTTGTGGTCTAATTTTTTTTTTAATGGCAGGGTAATACTTCTTGATGTATTTATAGTCTTCCTCTAACCAGTCTGAGTAGTGCATAGTGATTTTGTTGTACAACTTTTGCTGCTGCTTCCTTATTTTTTTTGTATTTGATTGCATTTTAATCCTTTTCCCCTTCTCCAGTTATTTTGCAGTTATTTAAATTTTGAGCTGTCCATTGTAAGCTGTTGTCTATTATGTCATTAGTATCTTTTTTTTTAGGAGTGTATCTCTGGAACTCTCCGCTTTTACTTTTTCCACAAAAGTAAATGCTAATTCTGTTCTCACTTATTTCTGAATTCTCTTTTTTTCCCCACATGTACTTATTTGAAACCCAAGAGAGTTGAAATCTTCTGTTGTATGGGTTCAATGACAGTACAGTACCTTTTGGTCAGCAATCTTTGTTATTTTTTAGTTCCATCCCCTTCTCCATTAGTAAGAGGTTATTTAGAATTTATTTTCCTTTCTATGGATTTACCATTACTTACAATTTGCAACTCCCCCTTCAGCCATAGATTCTTTTAGTATTAGTTTTTATTAAAGAAACTGGAAGCTGATAATTCAGCTAGTTATTGTGAACGTGTAAGATCTGATTTGAATTTTTCATTCTGTAGGTTGATCAAGCTCCTAAACTTTTGTCAGAGGGTGCTATGCAAGTTGAGCACAAACTAAAGCACTCTGAATTCAGACAATCTTTCTTAGTCTCAATTCCTCACCTGTAAAATAGGCTGAACATTTATAAACTTTGTAGTCAGTTTAGAGTTTATGGCCTTTGAGCAGGAATTTTTCTAGGAATTTGTACTAAAGACTTTTATCTGTTATGTCCTGTAAAACCAAAGTCAAACATTTGTGATTTGCGCTTTTTCCTTTTTTTAAATGATTATGCATGTAAACCTGCTAATGGGACTTTTAAATGAATTTTTAATTAGTTTTGTAAAATGTAGGACTTAATCACTTACCAAGCAGCCAATACTATAAATCCATAAACCATAGGCTAGTACTAAAATATCATATTTGTATCACCTCTCTCTCTCTCTTTTTTTTTGCTTTCCCCCTCCTTTGTAACTCTTGTAAACTTGCAGGGAATTGTGAAGAGAGATGAAGTTGTGTTCAAGGCTGCCAGAAGCCGCAGAATCCCAATCCTGATGGTGACGTCTGGAGGCTACCAGAAGAGGACAGCACGGATTATTGCTGATTCCATTCTCAATTTGCACAACCTGGGGCTTATTGACAAGGAGCTAGTAACCAGTGGAGCTGAAAATCCCAAGGTAGAACAGATGATTAGAGAGACTGCTAAAGACTTAACCAACTTGTCGCTGCAATGACAAGTTACTAAATTTTAGGAAACAACTTCCTGGTTTAGGAGCAGAAGTCTCCACATCATTATCAGGCTTAATATAACATATTTTAAAAAAGACTCAACTTGCCTGTAAAATAACACAGTAGAGCCAATATGTAGGCACAGAATAACTGTGTCTAACTTCTGAAGCTATCGAGCAAAGGCAACAAATCCTTTTAAGCTAATTGAGATGTAAACTGAAAGACAGTACCCTTGAGTATATAATATTACTGTAGAAAGCTTTAATTGCTTCTCTTATTGTTATGGGTAGTCTATTATGTTGAAAGAACTATGCAGTTGGTATCCAAAGACTGTCCCAGACCTATTTCAGATGATGCAGTTTGGACTGTGGTGCGAGAAATATGGACTAAACCTACTGGCATTTTTTTTTAAGATACTGCATTTTATTTATTGCTTTTTTAATTGAAATATTGTTATAAAATGAGTTCTGTGCAGGCTTCAATTATCAGTTTAATACTAAAGTTAAGTGCAATACTATAAAAAACGGTTCAGTTGGTAGGCTTTTAAGCCATAGCCTATTAGAATGAAAGTTCACTAATGTACATTTTATTCCTGTTGTTGATAGTGACTTAAATACTAAACACCTTGAGAAATAAAACATGAAATGCCTTTGGCTCCATATGCAAGTGGGCCATAAGGGCTCAGCATTAACAGTTTAGTTTTTGCCTCTCTTAAAATGCGGCTTGCATATAAAAGGCAATAGTTACTATGCATCGTAAATCACAGAGTAAAGAAACTACAATAAGATGAAAGATAATTTTAGAGTTCTGAGAATTCTTGCAGAAAATATTATGTAGAAACATAGGGTATCTTTTGCTATTGCCAGCTTGTCATGTATAAAACAGTGAAGAGTGAATTTTGATGCACACACCCCCACCCCATCCCCCCCAATGCTGTGTTTTTCACTTGCTTGAAGAGTAATGGTATTCATAGTTGTAGTTATAGTTGGTAACCAAATTGTTCATATTTACAGATAAAAATACAGTGAAATTTCTACATTAAGTTAATGTGCTAACTTTATATGGGAGCTTCGAGGAGGATTTGGGAACAAAATAGTGTAGGCAAAAGCAGATTCAGTACACTAACTGTAAAATTTGGTTTTATTTAAGTTGGTATATTTTGCATTAGTTTCTGTTTGTAGCATTGGGTCATAAACATACTAAACTGTATATTTTGCAAGAGCTTTTTTAACTTCCAAGTATTCACTGATTTGTAGTACAAGTTTCATGTCATATTTACGTTTGAGCCTTTCTATGAAGGAAAATTAGTATTTTCCTTGTAGTAGAATTGGTGTGTGAGCCATTTAAGGAATGTTTTATTCTAATTAGAATACTTACCTCACTTAGTGTTTATTTTTAGATTGATGGGGTTTGTTAATTGTAAGAACTTGCACAATTGCTATAAATAGCTGCTTTAAAACAGATTTGACATATTGCACTAATACTGAGTTGCAACACTGTTATTAAAAAGTACTTTTAAATTTCTTACTAGAAGGACCATCCGAGTACAACTAATGTTGAGCTTTATTTTTTCTATACTGTCTGACGTTACTGAAAGATGTTGTTATTCTTTCTTATAATTTTTATAAAATTATAAATTACGTTTCTATAAACTAAAATGCTGTCATAGTACTACATGGTCTTTTCCAAAACATTTTCTGTTTGTGTTAACATGTTTATATTATTTTCCCTCGGTGGAGATTAAAATGATGTTGAACAATGCTGACTGACTTTTCTTTTCACTTGACATGTATCTTGGCTGTCAAAAACTCTGAATGGAACAGTTTATTGAAAAGACAAGAAGATGTGTTTTTCATACTTAAAATGTAACCGAAACTGCAGTGAGTCTTAAGGGTGAGCAGTACAGGGTTTGTCAACAGTGGATGACTTCTCTGAGAGTTATTGTGTTGACCTCTTAAAGTGAGCTTGGAAGTTCTCTATCCAAATACTTTTTAAGATGTCATCATAGGGGGTTAAAGTCTCTTTCTAATTCCAAGTTATGTTCCATTACCTGTATTGTAACTCCTATTTTAAGTATTTTGTTGTTACAGGTATTAAACTGTAGACTAAGCTGCTGTTAAGGCTGTAATAGTTTGTTAGAGGTCTTTTATAAATCAGTATCTTTTCAGAGAGAACTAAATGTTTGCAGAAGAGCCTGCTAGCTTTCAGACTCATCTGTAAAATTTGCGATTTGTTAAGCAATGGGCATGTTGACTGCATTTTCAGTGTTCATTTTAAAGTTAGAATTGGTAAACAGATAACTCCTTCATATTTTTAAAAAAATTTAATTTAGTGTAATATTTGACTTGGTTGTTAAAACCAAAAGATTAATTTCTACACATTAAGAAACTAATCCAAGATAAATGTGTACTGTTTTTCAAAAAGAAGTAATGAAACTGTTTCTAAGTTGAATTTAGACCACAGATATTATATGATTCGTAGTTAATACACTGTTATCATTAGGCAAAGTTCACTGAAAATTTCATCATGGAAACCTTGCCTTGACCTACCACCATCAAAATTTTTGGCTTTGACAAAAACTTTTGTGGAACACAAAGACCCATATAAGTCTGCTAGGAGAATGCCATGTAGTCACAAATTTTATGGGGAAAAAGTGTGGAGTTTTTGGGTGGAGTGGGTTTTTTTTGTTTTGTTTCTTTTGGGGGGTTTTTTTGGTGCTTTGTTTGTGGTGTGTGGTTTTTTGGTTTTTTTTTTGTTTTTTCTCCCTTCAATTGCAGTTGTAACTATAAAATCCTCCCATAATAAGGAGCAGTGTTTTGGAACTGATGCCCTAACTTACAACCAAAAAACTATCTTGAAGAAAGACGTAGGTCTTGTCTCTCAAAATAAGACATTAGTTTTGACTCAAATTACTTAAGAAAGAAATAGTGAGGATTGTTCAATAGCTTATAGTTAACATATGAACATACATTTCTTGCTAGTCATCCATGTGTGAAATTTATTTTAAAAATAAACTGAAGAGTTGGTGTTTTCATCTATTTGATTTGACAGTTGGCCTGTCGAGCTCCATCCCCCCTTGCCTCTTTGACAGTTGACACCCAGTGTAGAACTTGGCATTAAAACCACTGGCTGTTGTGGTCATAGTCTTACACTGACTAAATTTTTGCTTTAGATGGTAATATCAATCTCTTTCACACTGAAGGTGTGACTTGTTTGTTTGACTTCAATGTGGTTTTTTAACACCCTGAATTGTCAAGTCCCAGACTTGTATCATGAATACAAAGAAGAATTTGAGAAATGCTGCAGTCAGACAGCTGTGATCAGGAAAAAAAAAAAAAAGAGACATTACAAAAATTAATTAGTATACAGCTTATTGTGTGGAGGGCAGGTAGTCTTATGTTTGGTGACTAATAAATGTCCAGGTTCTCTACTCCTTGCTGTTCCTCACAGCTTGAGGAGTGTAATGACCCTGCAATCGTTCCCTGGTACCTTCTGGTCCTGCTACCAGAGTAAATTGTTCAGCAGTGTTTCTGCCTCCTCTTGCACATACAGCAAGGTACACAATTCTTTTCAGTGCTGGCTGCATATGTTTTTTGTGGTCTGTGAAGTGACATTTAGGAATTTCTTGTACTTTACAGATTGAACTATACAATTGTGTCCTACATGCAACAGAGACACTTTGGGGAGAACACTCTGACAAATCCAGAACTTATGAAGTTAGTAATCTTGGATCTAGACTTTGCTCACACTGCGCTGCCAGGAGCTGAAGGAGCTTGCTGAGTTTAGAAAGCTGTAGGGTCTAGGATTTTGGTGCTGTGTGCTATGCCAGTTTTTGAGTAAGTGGAAACCTTCTTTCAAGAAAACTGCAATCCCCTGGTGAAGAAGAAAATTCATCTGCTATCTTTGCCCAATGGAAGATGATCTTTCTTATACCCACTGGTTGATTCTGAAATGCAGAGCATATCAGAAGCAATAATAAAGGGCCTAATCCCAAGTGATTCTGACTTTAAATAGGTGTGATTTTTCATGTTTTTAGTCTTTCTTTGATCCTGACACTTTTGGTAATCTCTTAGATTTCCCATCCAGTGCTCATTTAATTTTTCCTTCTTTATCTTATCCTTTAGGCAGGCTGTTTTGCTACAGCCAGTCACTTTTTTACCACAAGTCAATAGAATCAATTTCTTCTAAAAAGAGATGACGTTTTGGTAAACTGCATGAAGGACTAATTCCTATTACTTAAGCCTGATTCTGTCCTAGGCTTACCATGGCAGTGAGAACAGGAGGTTTGTTTTGCTCAGTGCCTGACTCGATGCAAGTTACTAGATGCAACCTGTAGATGATCCTTAGGACAAAGCAAATAACTCCTGCCCTACTTTTCTACAGCCTTTGAATGTGCAAGAATGCTGTGTGCTGCACATAGCACTGACTTCCTGAAACTAAATTCAGAATACTGTGGTAAGAGAAAAAATGCTGTTTTGATTGAAAAGATTGAATAGGCATAGGAAATTGTTGTGGTGGGGCTGTGGTTCTGACTTACCACCCTGGTGCAGTTCTGACCTCCCTCCATACAGCTTATTTGAGATTAAACTTCTGGTTGGAGATGAATTAAATACAAAAATTGTGAAACGACTGCCAGTAATGTTAGGCACATCTTGTGTTACAAGTTCTGCAGTATTATATTTCACCAGTGCAGTGGTCTGTGGAGCCATGGCAAGCTTCTGCAAATCATTTCTTCCTTCAAAAGTAACATTACCGATAATTAGTTAAACTATTTGTTTTCAGATATAAGGCTAGTTATATATTTCACTAATAAGATCCAAACTTTTGTTTTATTTTGCAGTTGAGAGTAGACTTCCTTTGAGCTAGCTTGACTGGAACTGATTATCTTTATTCTGGAAATGCATGTTTGATTTGTGGGTGTTTTTTTTTTTAAAAAAAAAAAAAAGAGAAAAGGGGAAAAAAAATGTATTCAAGGCTGACCTGAAATAATGTATCTTGTCTTTAT